ATATATATATATATATATATATATATATATATATATATATATATATATATACATCATGCATTCGTGCCGATCGATTACCAAGTGCCTTTTTGCAGTAACGTGAAAGCGAGCGGCTTTGTTTCGGCGTTGTTCCGCTTTCGGCGCCGATCTTCGCCAGGGACATGCGCACGCGCGCCTCTCCCCTCGTTGTTCGCGGGATTTCCCAACAGTGCCGGACCCTCCTGGCGATCGCAGGACACAGCCGATGCTCTGCTGTTGTAGCTCCCCTTCTCGCGGCGTTACCCACCTCGTCCTTCTGTCCTTTTCTCACCATTTCCCACTTCTTAGTCCCTTCCCGTTGTTAATGCACTCAAGCAAATTTCACCAAAGCAAATACTGCCATTTTTTGTGAAAAAACGGACATTGGTATATTTCCATTATCCTTCGTCCATGCCTATCCCTAACATTTGGACAAACATTCGTACCGAATAACATTATCGACTGTATCGTGGTCAAAGGGAACCGGCAATTCTGTCGATCGACGCTGGGCGCCGCGACGTCCTCCCATCCGCACGTATTAATTGGCAGATCCGATTGTGCGCTCAATAATCTCTGACCCATCACAGCTTACCTCTCAAAAGAAACGATGCGTGTGCGGGCACGTACCTACACAGAGAAACATAGAGCGCGGAGAGGGGCGAGCGGTACGGGGGATGGTTGGGGGGAGAGGCACACACAGGATCGATCGCATTATCGGATCTGCCGCCAATGCGTAGACTGACTCGAACAGCCGCCGAGCGCGACAATAAAGATCGATCTCGCTCATCTTCGCGCGTCTCCCGTCCCCAGCCCGTAGCCCCTCTAGAGGAGCACGAATTTTCGGATCCACGGAGCGTGGGCACCGATCGCGAGCAAGAAACGTCGCGCGCCAGCCTCGCCGGATCGCCAAACAGCTCTTCCTTGCTCGTGTGACTCTCCGCACTATGGCTCTCGTGTGCGTGTGCGTGTGCGCGCTCGAGTGTCCAACCCCACTACCGTCCCGATGCGCCGCACGGGGCATGCGTCGAGCCACTCGGCGGGAGAGAGCGCAGTTTCTCGCAGGACCGGCGCCCCTCAGTACGAAGCCGACGACCGGAGCGGTTGCACCTGTCGTTTCACGGCTCTTTACCTCCCACCCTTCCTCGCCCGTCCGCCACCACCACCCTCTTCGCCGTTGCGGACAGGCGCGCGCGCGCGCGCCCTCCTTGCTCTTACTGTCCTGCGCTATCGCGGTCTCTGTCCCCGCATACATACACATCTATACATACATATATATCTGCCGTCCCTTTATCGCTCTCGCTCCCTCTCCCTCTCTCTCTCTCTCTCTCTCTCTCTCTTCATCTATCTCTCTCTCCGTCTCTTCACACACACATACACATCACGGGCAGAGAGTCTTTCTCCATCTGTGGCCTCGCGAGTAGGATGCGCGTAGCCGGCGGTGCTGGACCGAATCCGAAGAGCCGGGGCACCGCTAGTATGTGAGAGTCAGAAGTCCGACTGCCGCTGCTGGAACGGCGCGTGGAGCAGAATCTGCTTTGTTCGACTCAGCTCCTTCTTCTCGGACCGTTTTATCATCACCTTCATCATCGTCATCGTCGTCTCTTTTCTTTTTCCTTCTCACTCACTCATTCTCCTCTTGCTCCCCCTCCTCCTCCTCCTCCTCCTCATCATCATCATCATCATCTTCTACTTCTTCTTCTTCGCCTTCTCCCTCTACCTCGTCCTCATCCTCCTTCTTGCCTTAGCTTCAGCCTCTTGTTCTTCTCGTTTCTTTCCTCCTCCTCCTCCTTCTCCTCCATCTCCTCCTCCTCCTCCTACTCCTCCTACTTCTCCTCCTCCTCCTCATCCTACTCCTCCTACTCCTCCACCTCCTCCGTCTTCTCTTTCTTCTTTTTCGTCTTCCTCTTCCACTTCTACTTCTTCTTCTACTTAATCGAAGCACCTTCGATTCGGCGCCGCCGTCGCCACGATGTCCCAACGTTACTTGGGCTAAGAGACGCGTATACTTGTAAGTTAGTGTGCCGCGGTTGAATTGTACAGTGCCAGGACGAGAAAGAAAAGGACTTGGAGGAAGCCGATCGGGTCGAGAGAGTCGACGAGCAGAGACCAGCGCTACTCTGGGTAAGTCAGTCCTTCGCCATCCTTTTCTCGCTTAGCTATCCGCCGTCGCTCCCTGATTCGCGCTTGCGATAAAGGGCCGAGCGAGCGCCCCCGGTGCCGAGGAGCTGCAGATTATAAACAAGTTTCGCGGTCGAGGATCGAGAGCCCGGGGCACTCGTCGATCTCGCCCATGAAAAGCACCGTGGCTCATCGACGACCCTGGGGTCCCGCACGTCCTTGAGCCCCGGCGGACTCGATGATCTTCCACCGACTAGTGTTCGCTATGTGGCCTCCGCCTCGCTATACCGGTCACCGATTACACCGTCGCGAAGAAAATTGCTGGACACGCTGGACCTCCCCCGCGCCATCCCCCGCATCATCACCGCGCCTTCCAGGCCCCGTTCGCGACGCTCTATGTTTCTCTGTGTAGGTACGTGCCCGCACACGCATCGTTTCTTTTGAGAGGTAAGCTGTGATGGGTCCATCATCGATGATCACGACTGGCAGCATCTTTTGATTTTCATTTTTGACCGGCAAAAGTCAGTGTCCCCCCACCGACACTCCGATAAGTCCTGGTCAATTGGATTTTTCGACGTCCAGTGCTTTCGTCCAGACTGGCGGTTCAGTCTTGTGTTGGCCGCAAATCTGGATTCGTTCTAG